GCTTTGGTTCCCTAGAAACTAGAAGGCCAAACTCTTAGAAAGCATTTGTATAAGTTACTCCAGATGAGAATACATATTCTATTCATTGCAAAGTGTGCATATATTTATGCAGGAAAACAAGGTGTATTTTCGATGGGATTTGATTAGACACTACATATTTAAACATCACATGTGATGTTAACGTGCCCTGGATCCTATTACCGTTCAGTAATAATCAGCCCATCGTATAAGGTAATGTCACCATTTACAGGTATATTTAGTTTGGTCGTTCCCTTTCGCCTTTCCTCAAGACACATGCGCTTTTTCTTGAAAACCAGTTTGCGTACTAAGTTCGGTGCAAAAAGTCCCAGTCAACAAATTCAGCCGCGATAAGTGTTGAGCTAACGCCGGCAAAATCTTATAAAATAAACATAATTTACTGTTTCCTTGTACGATTTAACCGAAGTATGAAGTGTTATAGTAATCGTTACCGTTTCTAAGGGAGCCACGTAATTAGGGATTTTGTGCAGGAAGCGAACTCGTATACATGAATAACATAAAAGAACAGGTTGTGGTAGACCGTTAGCTGATTAAAAATTCGGTTCAGCTGTTCGATTGCATTCGAAATCATCCTAGGTATACTAATCTAGGAGCTTTTGTTTGTTATGAGTAGCATTAGCCATGGGACCTAGTAGAATTGTTTGTTTGCTTCTGATCACATGAGAATCACGAGTTGAGTAACAGAAAAGTCTTCGGAAGCAGGTAGGAACGAGGGTTTGGACTACAAAAGTGCTTTGGACATCTCGGTGGATTAATAAGGTGTGCATGAGACCGCGACATTACCGTAGTGTATTAAGCAATAAAAAACGCGGATGGTGAACCGTCTGGCGTTGACTATGACTGGCTGATGATGGCTAATGTGCCAGAAATGGCCATTTCAGTCTCCCTTGCCTTTGTCAGCAATGCTCTTCTGCCTACACTACTAGCCGCTGTGTGGCCGCTGGCGGGGTTCAAGAGTGCGCCCCAAGGGAACC